AGAATAGAAATACAGTCATTATGGAAAAAAAAAAAATCAAACACAAAGTCCCCAGATACTAAACTTTATTTGTCTATGATAACCAACCTTCACTGAAACTTTCCACAAATCGATTATCTGCTATGGTAGAAACCAGAATGCCACTTCTCTGGATGCTCTTAGAAGATTCAAACCCAATTGTGCCAAAATGGGAGTTAAGCACGGTGCTTCCAGTACTATTATCTCTGTTGGACATCTCCAAAATTACGTTCTGTTTAGCTGGACAAAACCCAGGCGGTGGCCTAACCTTCAGCCGTAACTGCGGTATAACATCCCCTAGTAACCAGAAAGGAGCATCTGGGGGAGCACTTGAAAGGCGAACTTCCAAGTCAATACCAAAATACCCGGCCTCAAACCATCCGATTAGATCACTGCCAGAAAAAGGACCCTGGACCTGACCATGCGGATCTTTGTAATAAAGGGATAGTTCTTCTGGAGATGGAAGTGGTTCAAAATTTCTCATAGCAGGGTTAGCAGTCCATTCCCTGTCCGAAATTTCTGATGCATGCCTTTTAATATTGGGATTGCTTCGGTTCTCTGCATCGCCAGAGTGATTCTTTAGCCAATCATCTTTACAAAAAGATGAGCAAACTGAGGCACTGGTAGCCTCATTCTCAGCATCTACAGACAAATGAGACCAGTTGAACCCAGATGACAGGACACCAAATCCAGCATGATAATCATTCAAACCAGTAGATGGCAAGCACGGAATACCATCGGATTGAGATTTCCATGGAGCTGCACTACCTGAAAATGGACTCTCAGGAATGCTCATTTCTTCAGTCATACTATCAGCCTTTTGGGAAGAAATCTCTAATATCTGTTTAACTGCACAGAAAAGAACTAAGGAATGTTGGAGAGACAAATTTATAGAAAAAGAAAATTTATGAAGCACAGAAAAAGGTTGGTGCAGAAAACTCTTCGTCTAATAAATGCAAAGAAGATGGCAACCTAGTCGCATTAATAGCAGCATTCATATTGGCAGAAAATAAATTACTGCTATGCCCATAATTCTAGCTGAAAAATGTGATTTCCTGGTTTGAATATCATCTTAAAAGACATTTTAAAGTTAATTTAAAAATTAGTGACTGCTCATTGATCAAAATATGATGTATAAAGTTAAAACCAATACAGCAAACATGATCCATACCAAAGAACATCAAAGAAACACCGAAAAAGAAAGACGAGACATCCTATAACTTAAAGGAAATTTTTTTTTTAAATGATATTTTCAATCTTTGGAAATATATCATAACTTTAAAAAAAAAAAGAGCACTAATCACTTGAAAAGAAAAGAAAATATAACCTGGCTCGATATTTGGATGTCTTCCACTGCCTTCATGTTTGTAGTCACCTCCAATACAATGCAAACCTTCATGAGTCCCTGTTCATGCACATAACATCAGAAATATGGCATGAATCAAACCCATGAAAGTAAAATCATTCACAAGAAACATAAATGCACCTAGTTTCATCTGCTTCAACATAACTGATTCAATGTCATTTACTCCAGCAGTGTCCTCTATAAAAACTTGAGCTACACCACTACTTGCAACCTCTCCTTTTTCAATGGCTGTCATGATTAGCTATGCAACAAAAATACTATAATGAAGCAAAGCAAGTTGTCTCAGGATGTACATATTCGATAAAAAGCAATAGAACTACTTACCAATTCTTCAATGGTAGGAGCTGAAAGCGCAAGAGGTTCCAGCGGCTCAGATCTTGTCAGAGAAGGAACATCTATAATTCCATCAACAAAGACCCTATGGCTTCTTATATCAATCATCTTGTATATGTCAAGTAACTTCATGCGACTATATCTTAGATGAGATGATATTGTTTGGAGACCAGACTTAGCTGAGAAAGACCTCAGCTGAGGAGGGCGTGAGGTCATGCTGTTGGCATTGCTGGAATTAAAACTACCATGATGAGAAGGAGAAAGCGGAGCACTGCTCTCCCCTTTCCCACGGCCACAACCAGTATGAATTTGCTTGTGCGGGGTAAACGATTGCTGAGAAGATGACTCCGCCTTTTCTCGAGCCATGGAAGAGTTTGATCTCCATGGACGAGGGGAAGCTTCCCCTACTTTATCAGCATCTCTTCCATAGCCACACTGTGATATCTTGCCAACAGGACCCCAGCGTGTGGTCCATTTGGTCTCACGTCGTTGATCAAAGCTACTTTCCCTATTTCCTGATTCACTCCAACGCTCGGAGAGGTTCCGACGTTCTGCCGAGTGCCGGAAGGAACTGCCCAGCCAGCGCTCTCCCCTTTGGTCTCGGTGAATAAATGAATTTGTCTCCCTTTCTTCGTCGCGCCAACGGTCCTGGCATCCAGTTTCTGAATCATGTAATGCACGCTTATAAACGTCTTTTCTCTTTCCAACCTCATGGGAATCTTCACCATTTCCTAGCCATTTTAAGGAGCTAGTACGCTCTCCATGATGTGAACTAGTAAGATTTTCCTAAAACATTGTTTAAAAAAAAATCATTTCTATAGAAATTTTTGAATTGAGCAGGATACTTCCACTGACAGAAAAAGGATCATAAATACGTATTACAAGACCAATATAAAAGGAATGACATAAATTTAAAAATAGAACTAGAAAAAATGAAAACAGAAAATAAAAAAAGTAAATAAAAACTAATAATATTTGCAGCAGTAATTAGCCTAATAATTAGGTTAATAATTTTAAAACTCTCCTTCAAGTTGAAACATAAATGTCCATCATATTCATCTTGGATTTAAAGTCCTCAAACAACTACCCAGAATGATTTTGGGTAAGTATATTCCCTAATTGACCATTAAATAGAACAGATGAAATACAAATCTCTCCTGAATCGAGCTTCTCCTTAATGAAGTGTGTGTCAAACCCTATATGATTGGTGTGATCGTGTTGAACCGGATAGTGGGCAATGTTGATGGCGGCTTTATTATCAAAAAACAGCTGGAGAAGAGCAGAGACCAGCATACATATTTCACGGAGCATTATGCGTAACCAAAGAGATTCACAGATACCCAAGGACATGTAGCGAAACTAACTTTAGCCCTTCTCCAAGCCATAATCGATTATTTTTTGTTTTTCCACGTTATAAAATTTCTCCATATAAATGAGTAATATCCTGAGGTAAATCATTGATCATGGACGAACGTGCACCTTGCCCAATCCACGTCCTTATAAATAGCAATATAACGAGAGATGTGGCGCAATAAACACAAACTTGAGCCCGGCGTGATTTTTAAGTAGTGAAAGATCTTGTGGACGGCTCAGAGATATTGCTCATCTGGATCATGTATGAATTGACCCGCAATACCTACCCCGTGTCAAATGTTGGGGCAAGTATAAACTAAGTAAATGAGTTTCCCCACAAGGCATTGGTAAAAGTCTTGTTCGTCAGAACCGAATTGGAAACATCAGCTAACTTCTCATTTGAATCTATTGGGACCGCCACTGGTTTACAAAAAAAAGGTTATTTATTGTCAATAGATCAAACACATCCTTGCGCTGAGACAGGCAAATGCCCCGAAATGCCCCGAAATGACTTCCGAGCCTAAGAAGTACCGGAACGACCGCAAGTCTTTCATTTCAAATGAAATAGCAAGAATGACTTTTAGAAACTCTAATGTTGGTAGATCATCACCTGTGAGTACAATATCGTAGACATAAACGATAAGGATATCAAATCGGTCACTGAAAGAATGTTGAAAGAAGAGAATAAGATCTGATTGAGTTTGAGAAAATCTATGACACACAAATATCTTTGTGAATTTGTCGAACCGAACACTTGGGGATTTCTTCAGTTTGTAGAGAGACTTCTACAGTCGGCACACTTATCCCCTGAAAGAAGTGGATTCAAAGCCTGAAGGGAGGCACATGAACACCTCCTCCGTGAGATCCTCATTTTGGAAAGCATTCTTGACATCAAGTTGGAGCAAGGGCCAATCCAAATTCATATAGCGGGACATGAATGGCGTTTAATTTAGCAATCGGAACAAATGTCTCCACATAATCAACTTCGTATGTTTGTGAGTAAACTTTTGCGACCAACCGTACCTTACTGTGTTCCAAGGATCCACACAGTTAAACTCAATGTTAAAAATCCAGAACCCCACTACATTTTTATCCAAAGGAAGATCTATAACACCTCAGGTATGATTTTGATGAAGGGCATTCATCTCATCCATAACAGCAGCCCTCCATAAGGGGTCTGCTAATATTGCCTCAATTGTGGGTGGAAGATGATGATTCGTTAAGACAGTAGCAAACACTTTGTAGGTCGACAATACAATGTGGAAAGAGATATATTTTGTCATGGAATAAAGAAAGATTGTCTGATCACATGCCTCAATAGGAAAACTCACTTTCTCCTCTGGAGTATGGTTAGTGTTGGGTATGTCACCCAGAGTAGATTCCAAGTCCTGTAAAAAGAGAGCGGGCTCCAAAGTAGGAACATTGGGACGAGACACAAAGAGGAGGTTTTGGTTATCTAGTAGGTCACTGATCCAGACAAATGGCTCCTTGGACATAGTGGTTGGTGAAATATCCACAAGATTCGGATGAAGAACAGTATCTAAGAAATCTAACTTCCCCGAACATGAGGTACTAATGGGAAAGTAGGGAATATTTTTAAAGGAGACATCGGCACTCACATAGAGTGTATTTGTGATAGAATCAAGACACTAATAGCCTTTTTGAGTGGCATAGTATCCGAGGAAGATATATTTTGACTTTGGATCAAGTTTAATACAAGTAGGTGAGTAGGTGCACAGTTCCGAACAAAGATCTTGAACCCGAAAATTTTGGGATCAACGGTAATGAAAAATTAATCGGCAAGAAAACATGACATCAATTGTTGTGAAAGATGTCGGCAATAAAGCGAAAAATTGGAAACAAGAAATTCATAAAATAGAAAACACGACGGAACACACAGATTTAAGTGGTTCGGCAAATTACCTACGTCTACGAAGTTGCAGAGGATTTTATTTGCTTGAGAATTACACCGTCGATCACATCAACTTACAAGAAAGAACTCTCTCTCCTCTTTCTCTCTCTCTCTACATCTCCTCGTTCTTTATTTGTCTTCCCGAGAGATCTACAACCAAAGAGTAAAACAAGAGTCATAGCCTTTCATTTTGCTCTTCACGTAAGCTTCACACCGAAGAACAAAACCGCACATAAAAAGGAGAAGAGGGCTACTTCGTGGTACTCCCACCATGCCTATTTAACCATCCAACGCAAGGCCCAATTAAGGAAGGTTTTAATTCGTGAATCTTAGCAGAGGAAGGGCGGGATCCATAGCAAGAAGGATCCATAGCAAGAAATGTTTCCTTTTCTCTTCAACAATCAAGGTGGTGGGACCCTCCCTCACATCAAATAAAGGAATTGATTAATTCATTGATTCACTCCAAAAGGCAGTCGCCTTATTTGCAAAGAGACAGGCAGGAAGCTTTAGTTAGGAAGGTAATTAACAACGTAATTAACAATTTTAATTATTGCCTAAAATCTAGTGGATCGGGTCTCCATCTTCCTAGACAATTCTCCCACTTTGAGATTGGGACACTAACTTCATCATCCATTGGCAGCATCATTCGCTGGTTGTACCGACATTTTTTCAAATGTGATATTTGAAACCTCTGTAACTCATGGCTTCTGCCTTCAAGCTAGAAGACTAGTTGAAGTCGAACACAACTTCAGTCTCTCCATTTTCCTGATCAGCTCTCACTTGCTCGAATTTTCATCATGCAAGGTTTCTTCATAGTTTTGTGATTCTCCCTTATCTATCAAGAGAATGTAATTCAATGTTGGTGAGAAACGCTACGGGGAACGTCTATTCCTGATTGAACTGCGAACTGTAGTTGTAGGGGTGAACAACTCTGCAGTTGACTGCGGAACACTAGGAATTGGTACCCCAGACCCACTATCCTCATCACTTTCATCACTGTCTTGCACTATGATCTCTGGTAGATCAACAAATCTTACATTTCTACTGTGATCATCAATGACTGTGGTATAGTAACGAAAGCTTCCAAGTGATGCCACTGAAGAAGATCCCCCCACATCTGTGTGTACAGTTTTCTTGTTTTTGGTGCTCCGTCACTTTTCACAAAACTAACATTCTTCTGTTTCCCTATAATGCAACTTTCACACATATTGAGATCAACTAACTTTTGTTTCCCAGGACTGTAGTTATTTCATGCCCCTCTAACTCATCTGACTAAGTCTGAGTAAACTTGTAGTCAAATATAATGTGTCAGTTTTCTTACCTCAAACCAGTACCACTGCACCTTTCGTAACATTCCAGGAGCTATTTGAGAACACTATTGTATGACCACCATTATAGAGCAACTCAACAGAAAGGAGATTTTTCCTTGTATGACCACCATTATAGAGCAACTCAACAGAAATGAGATTTTTTCTCAACTCAGCAATGTGTCTGACCTTTTGCAAAGTCTATTTGTTCTTATTATGGAGTGCGATATCGACGTTTTCCATCCTCATCACGTCCAGAACTTTTCCATCTGTCAGATACATCTTCCCAAAGTCATCTGCAACATAATTTCGCATTAATTCTCAGTGAAAAGATTTATAGAAAGAAGTCCGTGTCAGATACATCTTCCCAAAGTCATCTGCAACATAGTTTCGCATTAATTCTCAGTGAAAAGATTTATAAAAAGAAGTCCGTGAATCCAGTATCCAATCATCAAAAGAACTGTGAACTGTCAGCAATAGTGTATTATGTACTTCTTTAGTTACAACATTAGCGTAACATTAGCGCTATCATCCTTCGTCTTCTTTGAATTTTTTGCAGTTCCTTTTTAAGTGGTCAACTTTGCCACAATTCCAGCAGTTTGTCTGCTGACAGACTTTGACTTGTTCTTGCCTACATGCTTTGATTTTAGTCTTCCTCTGTTTGAGTTCTTGTCATGTGATCTCCTTCTGGAATCAACATTCAGTACCGAACTTGAACCTGAAGTCTCGCCAGAATATTTCATGCGCACCTCTTCAACAAAAATTAAATTATGAATATCATTATATTTCAGTTTAAATTTATCTGCTGAATTACTAATCACCATTCTCATGATTTTTCAGATATTTGGAAATAAAACCAACAATATCAATGCACGTATCTCATCATCATATTCAATTTCAACAGACGAATTCATTTGTGATAGTTTTGAAATCATTCAGATGTTGTGCAATAGATGTACCCTCCGTCATATTCAAGATGAATAACTTTTTCATCAAGTACACCCTGTTATTCGCAAATGACTTTTCATACATACCTGATAAAGCTGTCATGAGATCTGCAGCAGTCATTTCCTTGATGACGTTGTGGGCAACGGATCTAGACATGGTTAATCGAATAACCCCCAGAACCAGTCGATCCAATTAATTCCAATCAGTTACATTCATCTTCTCCGACCGCTTTCCTAGTAACGAATGATGAAATTTCTTTCTATAGAGGTAGTTCTCTATCTACATCCTCCAATAACCAAAATTTGTCATTAAACTTCTTGATCTCTGATGTCATCACTTTATCTCCAGTCATTGTTCTTCCATAAATTCGAAATCACGACTCTGATACCAATTGTTGTGTAAAACGTCGGCAATAAAACAAAAAATTTGAACGAGAAATTCACAAAAAAACACAGCGGAACATAGATTTACGTGATTCGACAAATTGTCTATGTCCACGGAGTTGCAGAGGATTTTATTAGCTTGAGGATTACACCGTCGATCACATCGACTTACAAAAAATAATAGTCTCTCTCCTCTTTCTATCTCTCTCTACCTCTCCCCGTTCTTTACCTCTCTACCCGAGAGATCTACAGCCGAAGAGTTAAACAAGAGTCGTAGCCTTTGATTTTGCTCTTCTCATAAGCTTCACACCGAAGAACAAAAACCGCACGTAAAGAGGAGAAGAGGGCTACTTCGTGGTACTCCCAACATGCCTTTTTAACCATCCAACGCAAGGCCCAATTAAAGAAGGTTTTAATTCGTGAATCTTAGCAGAGGAAGGGTCGGATCCATAACAAGAAATGTTTCTTTTTCTCTTCAGCAATTAAGGTAGCGGGACCCTCCCTCACATCAAATAAAGGAATTTATTAATTCCTTGATTTACTCCAAAAGAAAACTGCCTTATTTGCAAAGAGAAAAGGCGGGAATATGGTAAGAAGAGCAGGAAGCTTTTGTTAGGAAGGTAATTAACAACGTAATTAACAATTTTAATTACTGCCTAAAATGTAGTGGACCGGGCCTCCACCTTCCTCAACAATCAATATGTCTAACGGAGTTTTGAGTTGTGATTTTTTGTAGAAACTCTATTGATGCAATATGTGACAGTAAGCACGATATCATTCTCAATTTTTTTTGAGATATTAGATTAAAACATAATGAAGCGAGCCATTTCGAGAAGGTGTCAATTTTTTTCTCTCGACTGCCCCATATTGTTGATCTAATCGAGAAAAAGTTGACCGACAGATGCCCTGACCAAGAATTCACCTAATGTAGAGTTAAAAAATTCACGGTCATTATCAATTCGAAGAACTATAATTAACATTTTGAATTGTGTCAACATGGAGTGAAAGTTTTGGAATGTGACAACAACTTCATATTTATCTTTTAAGATATAGATTCACGTCATTCGAGTGCGGTTATCAATCAAAGTAAAGAACCACCATTTATTAGTGTAGCTGGAAGTGCGAGAAGGTCCCCACAAGTTACTATGAATAAGTGAAAAAAAAAGTGGAAGGCATGTAGGAGTGGGGTGGATATGAAACACGATAATGTTTAGCTAATTAATAAATTTCACATTTGAAGCTTACAAGATTTTTATTAGTAAATATCAACGGACACAATTGTTTTAAATATTAAAAATTACGATGACCCAAATGACAATGTAACATAATAGGCATTCGGTGGATCTAGAAAAATTACAACTATCGAAAGACATCTGCATTCTTCATGCCTTTCTCTTAGAAGTAAAGCCGAGGAACTCTCTTAGTGATTCCAATCATCCTCCCCGAACAATGATCCTGAAAAACACAAATATCAGGAGAAAAATAAACAACGCAATCAATGTCAAGTGTCAACTTACTGACATATAAAATATTACACTTCAAAAGATATATATGTGATACAGATTCTAAAGTTAGACTGGTTGTTAATACAACCGGCCCTTTACCAGTAATGAAATTATAAGAGTCATCAGCAATTTTAACTGTATCATTTCCAAAGCATGAATAATATGTCGAGAAAGCTTGAGAACATCCAGTCATGTGATTCGTGACACATAAATCAATGATCCATTGACTAGAAGAGACAAAAAAGGCAAGCATCATAGAAATGGAACATTGACGGATGTGCGGAAGAGAGTTGACTAGATCCAAGTATCTTAATTAATTGCTCCATCTGACTCTTAAGAGAGTCTATTGATGCTAGAGTGTTCTGAATTGGTTGTGTCGTAACAGATTCAAATGTCATACTGAGACCCTTATCAGAGGAAGATTTGGCTAAATGTTTGTTTGTCAGTTTACCGTGGAGTTTCCAACACTTGCCACGAGTATGGTTGAGTTTGTGACAGTAGTCCCAAGTGAAGCCAGTGGCTCAAATTACACGGAAGAGTATTGAGTACTATTAGAGACCAAGGCAGATGATTCGACTAAAGTGGAAGTGTCGAGCATGACAAGTCTCTAGCTCTATTTGCGTCGAATCTCTGTAAATGCAACGTGAGCGGAAGGTAGGGGATCTAGGTCAAGAATATAGCCTTGAACTTTATCAAGGTCTTTGTTAAGGCCCGCCAAAAATTGGAATACGCGATCTTTTTCTACAATTTTATGAAATGGGAAAGATATGCCAAAGAATCCCACATATAATCATAGTGAAGATTGCATTCTATTCATAAGGTCACCAAATCATTGCAGTGGGTCACGTTCCTCGATCTTTGTTTCACCTCGCGAATCTTCTTGAAACATCATAAAGTTGGCTGGAGTTCCCTAGATGCGAGTAGATACCCCGAACTGTAGTCCATAGAGCACTTATAGGAATAAACATATACAAACGACCAATAGTAGTTTTCATGGAGTTAATCGGTCACGACATGACCATGGAATTCTCTACTTCCCACACTCCGTACGTCGGGTCAGTTTTCAGAGGTTCACAAACTATGCCTGTGAGATAGTCGAATTTCCCAAATCCTTTAACGAATAAGGACACCTCTTGGGACCATTGGAGAAAATTCAAACCATTCAGTTTATGGGTGGTGATTAGGAAGTTAATGTGGTTTTCCAGTCCTCCGGTCCACGGAGAAATTGAGGTTGTTGTTAATCCTCCAATGGACTCGAGTATCTCATCGGAAAGAGTCTCAGTGATGGAGTCCGCCATATTTCCGAATGAGCCAAAAATGAGGTCGGGATTTTAGACATCAAAGGATTCCTACTACCGGAGGGAACCAGCAACAAAACCTTAAATAAACCAGCAAGAAGACAGCGAAAAACTGCAAGAAATCTGCAAGGAAACCTGCGAGCAGAAGAAGGGCCCGGCAGCAGGGGAGAAGTGCCAAAAATCTGCAAGAGTGAGGGGCAGCAGAGGTGAGGCGCCAGAAAAAGAACAAATTGTAGAAACCTTCTGGAAATCTGCAGGGAAACCTACCGAATAGCTGCAGGTTAGATCCTACGACGGTGGCTAGCATTAGATCCTAGGGTTGATACCATGTAGAAATTTGAGAGTAGAGCAGAACACTTTCATTGATAGGAAAAGGATTATAAATACATATTAGAAGACCCAAATAAAAAAAATACATAAATTCAAAAATATACCAACTAGAAAATACATAAGTATGAAAACAGAATATAAAAGAAGTAAATAAAAATTAATAATAATTGTAGTAGTCATTAGCCTAATAATTAAGCTGATAATTCTAATAATCTCAATATTATGTTTTATGTTGTAGCCCGCCATAACATGCACCAAATAACATCATAAAAATAGTTGAGCGACAACAAAAAGCAACTGTAGATAAAACATGATGAGATTATCTGAAACTAATACATAGTATCTAGTTGTCACATTGTTATGCCACATAACTAGATCTCGTTAAAAAATCTAAAAACACAATAGAAGAACAAACAGAAAATTTACCGTTCCCATCTTATTATCCCCTAACTTGGTCTGCAGCCACTGAGGTGAAAGAGGCATAAAATTGTCAGATCCATGCATATCTGCAATACAGAAACAATAGGTGCATTACAGATGCTGCATGTTGGTAAGAAACCAAATTGCATTTAGATATGTTCATGAAGGCAATTACGTGAAAAACATAGCATAAAATATTTGCATCACCATACAGAGAAAGCATGAGATCATTGAGCAAAGAAGAAAGTTACCCTTCAATCAACATTTTTTTGTTCACATAGATTTCACATTTAGATTCCAATGCTTTACCACTTCAAGCCACAAAATCCAAAAAGAGAACTAATCTACTAAAAGGTGAATTTCAAGAAAGCGAAGCAAATGTGCAGGAGTGAGCTGAGTCCTTCAAATAAATAACACAACCATCCTTGATATAAAGGGAGCCAATTCATCTAGCAAAACCTCACTGAATCACAAATGACTGGCAGTAGGAACTCCAGAAGCTAACAGTCTGATTATTACAATTTGAGTAACAGAACAATTCATTATCACACATTTACTTAGCAAAGCAAAAGAATGTCACCATGATCTGCATGATCTGCTTACCTGCACAAAAAGATAACACATACACAAACATCTACTAACATTGTTTAGTGTATTAACTTAATGGAGTGTATTCTCAGTTTCACACGGGGTCTGATATTCAACAAACAAAAACAGATACGTGAAAGTACCTCAGACATATTTCAGCATACTGAAGCTATCATTACCCATTGAAACACTCAAACTGATCAAACCACCAAAAAAAAACATAACTATCAGAATTCAGAATGCCAGTTTTCCTCACTGAGCCAGCCGATCCTTCTCTGTTAATAACATTAATTTTTTGGGAAATTTACATGCATGCCACACAATTCTAATGTATTTACACATATCTAATACCAAAAGTTTGATAGTTACACCTATAAAAACTTGGTGTTGGAAACCAATGCATAGAAAATGAGAATTTCACTTTTAAAAAGATAGTGATAGTGGTATTTTTTTAATGATGTTAAAGATTTCAGTGGCATGCATGTAAATATGAGTGTTTAGGTGTTAGGTGTGTAAATACATAAGAGTTATGTGGTATCTATGTAAATGCCCCTACAATTTTATCAGCCAAATATAAAGATTTCAAGACAGCAGTCAGCTGGACAATTGTCTAACCTAATAAATGTAGCCTAAATCTGAATCATATACCTACCCTCTTTCCACTGGGTGTACTGAATGCAGCTCCGATGGGGAACAAAGTTCCATGCCGTTCCATTGGACATCGTGTTAGTTGCATAGAAGCAAATAATTCTGCATTGACATGACATGGCTGTGAATTAAAAAATCCATGGAGATCCTCAACCTCTGCTCATAATATGCAATGCTTTCATCAAACATAAAAGAGCTAAAATTATAAGACAAGACTTCCAAGCTAGAATCTTATGAGAGAAATTTCATACTTCGGTATTTTACCCAGCCAACCAGCCATTTATACTAAGTTGATTTCCTCCTCATAGCTTGAATTACTTATTGCAATAACACATTAATAAAATCCAGATTCTCAATCTACCTTAATCAAGAATCCAATAAATATGAAAAAATTCATACTAGAGTTGCCAAAGTAACAAAAATAGTGATCTGGGTATCTGGGCTGGATTCCACGGACGCATGGCGTCAATTATACGGTAACAACCGCATCGCTGACATGGAAAGAACTGATTTAGACTTTGGGATAGCTGACCGGCCCTCCAAGCCATAGAACCGCTGCCCAATTGAAGTGGGGTCACTCCTAATTATCTAGGACATTTATATTTTGCTTTTGTAGTGCTTAGGTTGGAAATTTTTTATGTGTTTGTAGTTCTTAGTCTGAGTGATGCTTCAGCTATATCTCACTCTTGAGATGGTGATTCCTTCCCCTACCCTACCACAACCTTCTTGTATCGTTCCCCGCCTCCTTCCCATGTTGTCGCCGCATAGAACAATAGCCTTTACTATTCTACGGTAAGTTCCCATAGTCCAACCAACTGTCATCGCTACCACTGCCCGAAAAGCCATCATTCACCTTCCCCTGCCATCATCCTCCCTTGATGTTGTCGCCGCCCCCGAACCGCAATTCCTTGTTGCTTTCCCGAAGTCTAACCACCTTTCCTTGTTGCTGCCACCCAAAACAGTCATCCTTGTTTTTCTTGTAGCCCACCACCATCCCCTTGAAGTCGCCTCACTTTCCAACCCACCTAGCTGACACCCGTCCACCCTATCTCGTGTCATGTGTTGAGTTAATTGCAAATTCTTATTTTTATTGTTTTGTTGTAATTTCTTATTTGAAATTAGTAATAATAATTGTTTTTCATTATTGTTTGGTCAAACTCCAATATCATTTATATCATTTGATATCAGAACTAGTTTAATCCTATAATAAGCTAGGGTTACCGAAATCAGCCCCAAAAAAAATTTCCCTACTCTAAACCGCCTCTATACACCCCTTTCATCCCCTCCAAACCAAAACCCCAATCATGCCATCAAGGAGATAAGTGTTGAACGCCGTTCAGGATCTTACCTAGAAAAAGGTGTAGTGGGAACTCCGCTAACTTCAACAAAGGCTTGTTGAAATTGAAGAAAGAACCCAAGGAAAGGTCATTGTTGACCGTGATAGAGAGATTAGAGGAGAGAGAAAAATATGAACCCTTTTATAAGAATGATTCCAGAGAAGAGGACATTATGCTTTGGGATTCAGTATTAGAGGAGGTCGAGGGATGAAGTGGCTGTTAGAGGATAGAGAGACCTAGAAGTGAAGATAGACAGTCTAGATTTTGAGGGGATAATGATCATGATAGATTCATTGAGTGATTGCAGATTGTCAAGAAGATTTTTTAATACAAGGATGTGTCCGATGACATAAGATACTGCCATCAAGCTGGAGAATAGTGTCTCTTTGTGGTGGGAGAATCTGAAAAAAAAAAGAAACGGAGTGTCTCTTTGTGGTGGGAGAATCTGAAAAAAAAAAGAAACGGATAGAAGGTCAAAGCAAGATCACTACTTGGGAGAAGATGAAAAAAGAGATTCGAAGGAAGCATTTACCCCGCACTGCTTTCAAGACATGTTCTTGAAGTTCCACCACCAACAATAGAAGGAACTATTTGTGGAGGAGTTTACAGTAGAATTTGAGCAATTTATCCTGAAATGTGGGTTGAATGAATCAAAGGAGCACACTATAATAGATACGTGAGAGGCACAAAACCCGCCATCAGCAATGTTGTCAGCTATAGTTTTATTGGTCGTTGAGTGGTGTTCAAACCTCGACTTTGAAGGTAGAGAAACAATAGAAATAGAGGAGGCACCCACCTACATTTAGGCAGCTACTCACAACTAGAAAAATCAGCAGGAGCACGCCTAGAGAAGTAGTGAAGACTAGTAAGGAGAATGACAGGGTTGATTAGAGTGAAAAGAAGCTTTAGAAGCATAGCATACCCAACACAATTCTAGCTGAAAATGCTTTATGTGTCATACATAATTACAGGTTGCCTCAAGTTGCCCAACAAGCAGGGTTGTTTCCTTTATCGAATAGGGTGCAGTGGAGGAGGTGAGAGAAGAGGAGATAGTTCAAGTGCTGAGAGAGGAGTACTGGCTTCCAGCTGAAGAGGATGAAATGTATGTAGTTTGCGAGTCGTTCAGACTGAGACTACGAGGAAGCAACAGTGGCTTCGCCATAATATCTTTCATACTCATTGTACTGTAAAGAGAAATGTGTGCAGTCTTATCATCAATGGAAATATAAGTAAACATGTGGCGTCTACACAAATAGTGAACAAGTTCTTGTACTCTACCATTCCAATTCTTCTGCATTGCTCCCCGCCTCCATCTCTTGTTGTTGTAGCCACCCAAGAAAATAGTCTTCGTTGTTTTCTGTCAGTTTCCCGTAGACCAACCGCCTGCCCTCTCTACCGCTGCTTTGGGCAGCCATCTTTTGTTGTTATGCAGTCCATCGCTTCCCCCATTCACTATTGTTGTCATCCTTCCTTGTTGTTGCCACCACCGAACTACAATTATGTGTTGCTTTCCCGCAATCCAGCGACCTTTCCACACACCCACAACCCAAAAAAGTCATCCTTGTTGTTCCCGCAGTCCAGCGACCTTTTCCAAAAACTGCTTTCTCATGCGTTATGCCCCATGATGAGAACCCGCGCCATGTGCCTAAATATTCGAGAACACAGCGCCACTGGGAATCAAACCCGTGACCTGAGGGGACTTACAGTGAACCCCACCAATCACCCCACCAATCAACAGGCAATGGGTTGCGGCATATATATATATATATATATTTCCTAGCCAGCGGTTCCATCTGATCATATATCTAATGATGTGCCCTAAGAGAACAAAAGGTGTTCTTATGAAGCTAATTGTTTGGGTAATCTCTCCCCTGAATAAAGCAAACACAATTATAATATAATGAATGAAACAAGGAAGAACATTATATGTGATTTGTCTCATATCTTTTGGCTAATTTGATTATTTATGTTAGTTTAAGTTTGGCACTCAAAAAAAAAAGTGCCACTTATATAAGTGCCATTTATATACAAGTTTGAAAGGTTTTCAGATTAATTAACTTCTAGTTTTCAGTGATATCATTGAATTATATATACTGTAGTTCTTTCCCAATAGATTTTCATCTTATTGCCTGGTGGAGGCATTGCATATATGGATTGCTAATAAGGATCGGTCCTATAAAATAGTTTGGTTTTAATTCCTGAAGCCAACATACGACTTTTTTGATGATAGGATAAACATACAGCTGTGGGGCAAAATTTCCATCGAGAAAAACAGAACTTAAAAATTGTTTTGTATTTGGCAGGACTTTTGTTAAAGATGATTGAGACTTGTGAATTATTATATAATATCCATGCAACTTAACCAATTGAATTTTGAGGGTGCAAGTCCAGGAATTTTGATGCTTAAAAATAGAATAATAAGAGGCATGTAAATAGACAATTATTAATCAATAAACTTTTAGATGTTGCTCTCAATGTTGTTTGTGCCAGTTAAAAGTAGATTTTTTTTAGTGCAGGTTGCAATAAATAACTTCAGAGAGAGGATATATATCCTTGTACCGATGTGAATCCTAGAATTTCTTCATCTTAGTGTTTCTACCTTCAAAATTTTCTTCTTTTTATTTTATTTATTATTGGTACTGTAGAAATCCTGATTTTGGTCAAATTTCTTGCATCAAGGGCCACAACTGCAACATAAAATTTTTAATTTCACATTAATTTTTCATTGTTCAAATTCTCAGTATAACATTCAATTAACCAGACATTGCAATACCATGATGAATCAATTTTCGCATGTTTTAGAGTTTGCACCTACATAAAGCAACTTTTTACATAATCAATAGACTTTGATCTACAAATCCTATGTTTTGATAACAACATTCATTAAATCATCATTGGTTGCATTAAGCATCATATACCCCTAAGCGTCATGCATCAATTTTGGTAATAGAGCTTTATGGTTGCATCATTTCCAGTAGAAGCGGGATATATTAATTAAGAAAGCAAAAAATTAATGTATAACATCAACAATGAGTAGTTTGTGGTTCTAAACAAATACAACTTAACTATGGTGAGGTTCAAAATTCCATGCTACATTTCAAAATTTTTTGGAGTGGCTCAATAGTTTGGAAAACTTCTTTGAACATTGCCATCTATTTTATTTTAAAATTTCGAAGTTGCTAAAAAAAAATATGTGGGTCGCACTTAATTATTTTTAAAAATTATTGGAAGTGAAATAAAATTAACATGAGTCAACATAAGACATCAATTTTACGACAAATATGTGTCCATGGATCCATATAAAGAATCAAAGTATCATCAATTTAAATGTTGAAAGTAAAATTATTCAAGCGTACTTAAAAATTATGCAAGGTTTACACACATTATAACTGCACTTGATTAGCCTGTAAATCATATTATCAGCACTAATTTTATTAATCGTCAGGCGAGAATTTATAAATGAAGCTACGCTACACTTAAAAACTATTTGAGGCTTTATTTATATCAAGAAATGTTGAGGTATATTACAATCACTGTACTGGGATTATTAAACCTATGATTGATGTTTTAAAAGAAAACTTAATGCCATCATCGTTAAAAGCTATCACAAATGCAATAATCATGTATGGTTAAATATGAGCTTACTAAAGAGATAGTAATTCATGAATATTCTTTTAAAAATATACTAAATGCATAATATAATTTGTAGTTACAAACGAAACATACATTTGATGTTGTTGAATATGAATTTACACTAGCAAAAAA